TGGGGTTGTGGTGACACAGCGTTTTTTGAATGTGGACGCGCTTCAATAAAAACATATTTAAAATATGTACCAAATGTTAATGATGAACAAGTTTTCATGATGATCTATTAAGCTTATATGGTATAGCATATCAAGATTATAAAAAGATATTTGAAGATGCTCCAATACTACCACCGAATTGTCATTTGACATCTTATGGTGTTCAATTTATTCGTCAACCTCAATATGAATCCATTATAAATCAGAAAAGTAAAGTACTTTCACTATTATTTTTCATTTGATAAAGTTTTAATATCTAAAGCACCGTTTATTTATAGATAATGATGAGTCGAATACATCTGATGCTGATGTTAATGTTGATATAGATACCGGTACTAATACTGCATCTAATCAACCGTTATTAAACTATTTAGGTAATTTTATTCTTTTCATATTATGTTCTGGAGATCGTCATCCAATATTTAAATATATTTGATGTGCTGTTAAATCATTTTTAGCAGGTTCAAATGGTAATAATGAGGATGAACATGAACAACCAATATATGAATTTAATAGCATCATGCAGAATTCATCAATAATTAATTGATTTAGTTCAATCAACCAGAAGCAGAACCAATGCTCATCACGATTTGGGAAAGATTTATGATATACATACAAATTCAAAAGGTACCGGTATTTATTGGTTTACCATTTTAGATAGTCGACTCTCTATCCATCTATCTACCATCACATGTTCTTTCATTTATCATAGATATGCCAAATGATGCAGAAAATCGTGCATCCGCTGTTGTTTTAGTTCAATCAAGTAAAAAATTTGTTCTTTTTAATTAATATAATGCGATGGTCCCTATTTAAGATTATGTATTGAAATAGTTTTAATTTTCCTTAGATTGTGATGATGATAAAACAGCATCAACAGCGGAAATTCGTGATGATGAAATATCAATTGATGATCGAATAACTTATACTATTGCTGATACAAATACATCATCATCAAGTAATACGAAGGATATTGATTTTTCGAGTCAAAAACCTATATCAGTGTCGTAAGTTGTTTTTGATGTTTTTGAATTGAAGTGTGATATTCGGAAAATTTATTGTTTTCGATGAGTAGTTGTTGTGACTAGGACTGTAAAAGTTACCGTTACTTCTTCTGCCGTTATCGACAACGGTAACTGAAAAGTCAGTTACCGTTGAAATAACGGTAACTATCAGTTAGTTAACTTTGTGTTAACTATTTCAGAAATATCCAGACAGTGGCTTAAAATGGCTTCCAAATAGGGGCGGAACCAGGGGTGGGCTAGACCGGGCACCGGGAGAAAGAAAAAATAATTATGTCCACTA